AGGACCTGGCACGGCCTGTCTCTAGAGGAGGAGCATCTTCTGGGAGAAGAGGAGCTGGAGGAGGCTGGGACCTGGGCTGAGCGGCCATGACGGGTGGGAGAGCCAACAGTTCCTGACAGTTGCTTGGCCACCCCTTGCCCAGGAGCCTTCTTCTAAGGCCGAGGCGCTTCACAGTCATGGAGACTGGGAATTGGGGACCTAATGAAAGTCTCTGGGCCTCTCCTCCTGGCACGGGCTGTCTCTAGAGGAGGAGCATCTTCTGGGAGAAGAGGAGCTGGAGGAGGCTGGGACCTGGGCTGAGCGGCCATGACGGGTGGGAGAGCCAACAGTTCCTGACGGTTGCTTGGCCACCCCTTGCCCAGGAGCCTTCTTCTAAGGCCGAGGCGCTTCACAGTCATGGAGACTGGGAATTGGGGACCTAATGAAAGTCTCTGGGCCTCTCCTCCTGTGATGCTCCCTCACCCTCTCACCCCCCAACCCCAGATCCTCATCTTCACCCGCATCGCAGGGCTGCAGGGCAAGGCCGCCCCACCAGGAGTGAACCCTAAGATCAATAAGCTATGGGCTTTGGTGGTAATGATGTTAATGCGGTTCATCAGTTGTAACGAAGGTGCCACTCTTGTGCCAGATGTTGGTCATGGGGGGTCTGTGCCTATGTGGGGGCAGGAAGAATATGGGAAATCTCTATGCCTTCCTCTTAATTTCGCTGTGAACCTAAAACTGTTCCCAAAAAAGGTAAATTATTTTTTAAAAATTCATCAAGACAATTTAATCAAGCCCTTGTCTGTTAGTTCTTGCTCTACTGACTCACCATATCAAGTACGGACAACATAAAGAGGACCATGACATGTTCTTGAAATACCCATGGGTTTGCCTGGAGGAAGAGGTGGTGCCATGGTTAGTCATGAGTACTACTGCAGGCTGTGCAATCGACCTTTCCCCCAGAGCGGCCGAGCAGTGGCAAATGTCTAATGCTGTTTCACAAGAGATGCTGTGGCCCAATCGAGAATGAGTCCTCCCACAAAAGAGACGTTTGCAATCCACGAAGAATGGTCCTTGCTTGTGCACAGCAGAGAATGCAAGCAGTCACAGTGAGTCACAGAAGTCGGGCATCCAGCCAGGGCACATGAGTGCATAGGACCAAGGAGAAAAGACAGAAGTCACGGCCAGGGTCGTACGGAACAGACTGACAGCACTTTATAGAGCCAAGAGTTGACAGTCTCATCACCTCATATGAGGTGGACTCTGGACTCTGAGATGCCTCCCTTCTTGCTCTTGGTATCCCTCTTGGTGAAACAGTCCGTGCCCCTTATGATCCTACACCTTTCCTAAGAAAGTTCCTGTAAGAGGATGTGCCTATGAGAACATGGCAAACAACTTCGTTTTAAAGTTGTCGGTAATCTCTCAGGCTAACCTGTTAAATCAGCTTGCCCTGAACTTGGGTATAGTAATACCTTCACACTCTACAAAACCTGTCCTTTCAGCTCTACATATTAATAAAAGAGTTGCCACTAAAATGATGTCTTTCTTCGAGAAAGAAGAAAAAAATATCGGTAAAACCCTATTGGGCAGGATCCGCTTTTTTCATTTTATTGCCTTAATTCTACATTCAGACTTTTTTGGGCCCTACCCTGTTCCAAAGTCTTCCAAGCCCACACTGAAATAAAATGACCATATTTCCAGCCAAAACTGCTGACTCTTCACCATCAGTTTAATTTCCTCATAATTTCCATTTTGGTATCTTAGAATCCAGATTATTCCCTCTACTCTTCAAAGTCCTGAATTTTGTTTTGTTTTCCTGGAGTACCTCAAATGACATCCAAACATTGGGACTATCTGTTAGGTACCTCTTCCTGGGAGGGGTTTCCCTTTCCTGCCCTCAAAGGCTCATGAATGCCTGATCTATAGGCATGAAATCCCACACACTAGTACACAGCATCTAACCAGGGGCCCACTCCATAGTGAGAGGTGTGGGAGGGGGCCCATGACCAAGAGGTCCACTGCCCACATCCCACGCCACTCCATCCAGAAGAGCCGGCCTCACGGGATGCCAGGAAGGCCCACAGAGTGTAGCTGAAGCAGCACCGAGGAGACAATATTTGGCAGCGATGGATGCCACCCTTCAGGATGCAGTAAATCGAGATCTGTGTCTGGCTTGGTGCCCCCAACAAGACGAGAATCCAGGAACCAAGAGTGGAAGCAAGAGTGGTCCCCTGACTGTCACTCCCAGTGACCACAGGGGGGACTTTTTACTTCCTGTTCCCACAACTCTGGGCTCTGCAGGGTTAGTGTCTGGTCCCCAACAGGATATACTCTTGCCAGGGACTAGCGCAAGCTCCAGCTGCCACCTGGGCATTTGGAAGGGAACTCCCTGTGTCCAGGGACCACCAGGCAAGAGGAGTCACCATCCTAGTCGGCGTAAATGGACCCTGAGCAGCAGGAGGTAGGGCTGCTTTTACACCAGGAAGACCA